ATGTGTTTGAATAAGGGGGGGAGGGGGGGGGGTCGTACTTCTACAGAGGGACAACTGCTCCCTGAAAGAGAGAAAAGGTCCTCTGTGGAACTTCTGCAGAGAGGCCGCTGCTTCTACAATGAGAGTCCTTCTCTGTGGAGGTAAAGTGAACCCAAACCGTTCTCTCCAGCTTCAGATTTTCATAACCGTCTGTTTGTTTATAGGGAGCTGCGTCTCATTCCTGTCTTTCCTGAAATTAAATGTCATTTTACGATCTTTGGTGTCGCTGTGATTGTCTGTTGTATTGATTGATTGTCTCGGTGGGGGAGGGGGTATCAGGAGATCTCTGTGGCACAGACACCATGTGTTTCCCCTTTAAATATGCAGCAGGCCCCACCCACTGCAAGAAACGACATGAGGGGGCGGAGACAAGACCAGTCACCCTGCACAAGGAGAGAGAGGAGCAGTGACCGGTCTTTATTACAGGAAGGGGGCGGAGACAAGACCAGTCACCCTGCACAAGGAGAGAGCGCAGCAGTGACCGGTCTTTATTACAGGAGGGGGCGGAGACAAGACCAGTCACCCTGCACAAGGAGAGAGAGAGCACTGTGCACTGCAGGAACGCACGTGTTACCAAAACACCTTCAAAATAAGCCCATTGGGTGTTTCGGGGCCGTTTCTTATGGCACCCTGAAGTGCGGTAAAGCGCCGCTGTGCATTGTTGTGCAGTGCCTATCAAAAAGAAGCATGTGCGCACAGGATCCATGTGTATAGCGCACACTACCAGGGGCTCGGTGCACTGGTGTATTGTGTTGTCATTGATTCTCAATGGCACCTCCTGGAGGGCGCGCATACTAGCGCCCCACAACGTGCGGTAACGCAGCAATGTGTATAGTCGTGCGGTGAAAGAACGGCAACTGCTACCGTGCGTTCTGTGGCTCTGCAACGCACACACTCCAGGAGGTGGTAAAAGATGCCATTGAGAATGAACGACAACGCACAAGCACCCCCCAGCATTCGGTACCATGTGCTTTGGGACAGCGTGCGCTAAACGCACAGATCCCGCGTGATTAGCGTGACTCTATAGTGTGCACGGGACCTTCATGGAGCCCATTCATACGAATGAGCTGCCCCAACACATCACAGTGAATGTGCAAAGTAACGCATGTCATCACACTCCGTGTAAACGCACCGCAAAGGTGTGAACCCAACTGAAAACATTATGCGGAAAGAGTAAGAATGTTATAACGGCATCCGAACATCTGCCGCGCGCAGTACCCTCTGTGGCCTGCAGGGGGCACCTCTGCCCTGGACAGCCAAAAGAAAAACACCTTCGGGGCACAGGTGCATTGTTTAGCATTTTGTTCTGATTTCCCCTCCACAGCTTCCCCCACGAAACAAGCAGCCCGTGCTGAGGGGCGTCTTGCTGGCAGGTATTTAGTTGTGGGCGGAGAGTTTCCCCCCGGGGGTGCTGGATGAAGGGTGGGCGTAGTTGCCCCGAGGGGCAGATAGTCCATTGCCTTGGGAGCAGGAGGGGCCCTTTAAACTGAAGGCATGTCATCAGTGTTTACAATGTAATTGCTGAGTGTGTTTTATAAGGACGCGCCGCATTACGAGGGGGTGACCACCTGCCGGGGTCAGGATGTGACGTCCAATGCCATTTAGTGTAACGGCTCTTATCCCACGTAGATGGGGCAACTCTGTTATTTATTTTCCTTCGTTACAGAAGCATTCACCGGATATATTATGTACCCCTTTATAACGTCATGGGTTTGCCTGCCAATTACTGACCATCCCCCCCCCCCCCGGGGAGGGGCGCCCCCACAAACCCCAAAAA